GTGCCACGAGGCAGTGCTATGGGGGAGGAGAGTGGCAGACGGTCGGTCGAGGGGTTGAAACAAAGAAGAGCAAGATCAAAAACCAAACAACCAGGGGCTCGTACAAATGATTTTTGATCTTGTCTCTCCTTGTTTACAGCCTTTCGAGGGGCTGACCGACCATCTGCCGCCCTCCTCCCCCAAAGCACTGCCTCGTGGCACTCCGGCCGGCCGGCGGACTATGAAAGCAGCCAATGCTTCATATTGCCAAGAGACCAGTCACGGCTGCTAGAGGAAACCGCACCAATGCTCTTGCTTGGTTCCACTAGTTGAACAATACTATAGCTCATATATACGCATATATACGGTACTGTAGCGCAGACCATAGAAGCAGATATTAATATTATTCCACGATATTGTCAAGATGGAGTTAGAGAAGAATAAGGATATTATATTGCTTACCTTCAACTTTTCGATAGTAATATCAGACTTGTGAAGAGCACGACCAGTTTCGATTTTCACTCCGATATCTCGTGCCAACTGTATTTCAAAATCGACTACCGAATAAGGTAAACGGAATTGAGGTATCTCTGCTGTACTGAAGAAAAAAGCAATTGATGAGCATAGACAACATGTGCTACGTACACTTTGTACCGTGTTTTTATTATGCGAAATTTTCACGAGTGTGGGAAGTATCTTGTTAGGGATATTTAGAGCATACACTTGAAATGCTGAATTGTAAATTTCCAAATTAAAAACGCTTTTGAATTTTCACCTCAGCTCAGAAGACACGGGAACCCCTCTCATCGAAGGAGCACACTCAGAATCAGAAATGCATTAGTAAAATTACGCACCAGGGAAAGTACGAACTACTTCACTTCTCGGAGTAAACTCATTCCCACCAAAGTCTGCGGTTTGGAATCCCGCCTATACTGTATGGAGGGTATGCATGTAGTTAAAAAAAGCTACATTTCTTGCAGAGGACTGTTATGGTGAGGCTGAAATTCAGGCTTGCAAAATTCGAGGTTGCGCCGACCAAATTCAGCTGAATCGGCAGCTACTTCAATTTCTTTTCTTTCCAATGCAGAAAGTCAACCTGCGATGTACTGTTCTCTTATACGAAACATCGTCTAAAAATCTGACTACTCTGTTACGCAACAGGCTCTTTTTTCCCACGAGTTCTCTCAGAATTAGGTTATCGTTACAGAAAGATTGTTTTCCCTATCGCTGAGCTGAAATATATCAGACCAGACAGGTTGCTCGGTTGACGCCGGGCTTCCTTCCTTCTTATGACAGAACTTCTTCTTTGGAACGCTGACAGGGCATGCGAGTGGTATTCCGATGCTTATGCCTATGAGTAGAGACCGCGGTCTGTTGTTGTTCATCTTGAAAATAATGACACATTGAAGGTTCAACTGGTTGACAACCGAAGCATCAAGTGGTACCCAGAAATGCTGTTGGGTTATAACAATAACCATTTCTACGGATTAATATGTTTAACTGAAGCATATTTCACCCTACCAACATTGTTTGACTGCAAAGCTGCAATATCCACAGATAGAGCAAGGGGTTTGATACGGTAGCAGATTTTGCTGAAACTAAAGTTGTTGACGTCTGCACTTATTCGCACCTTATGCGCGTTTTTCTTATCTACTGTGTTCGGCATTATCGCTCGCACTAATTAGACATGACAAAAGGGAAAGAGATTCTAGAAGTGCTATCATCTGTATTTTTTGTCGATTTTGAGTTCAAGCTAATTGGAATATCTGGAACATGTTCAGATTGCAGGTTAATAGTGGTAATCATTCACAATACACACACGCTCCAAATATATAGAAATTTCGCATGATTAGATCCAGTAGGAAAGGAGTTACGACTGAAAAGTACGGCTGAAGAACCATTTCACCGAAGGCTTTTGAGCGCTACTGTACATGCAATGAGCGGGTCCGGGAACTTCTCCCCTAACACGGCGTCGCACACGCCGCACCCGCCGCCAACCGCAGAATTGCGATGGAAGTTGGAGCGCGCAATTTGTGAGGTAGGGAGCCCTTTAATTATTTGAATTGGCTGACTGCTTCCTTCAATTTCAATGCAGTCTTGATCGCCGCTTACATAGGAGGAGTCACCTTAATTAATCAAGCCTAATAAACATGAAAACTAAAAAGAAACAGAAGGAAAAATGACAAAATCGAATGAAAAAGCAAGCCAGTCAAGGAAAAATATCGCGTCCTATCGATTGGCGGGAGGCGGGGTGAGTACGGTAATTGCAGTGACATTTGCCGCATGCCGCAAGGGAGAATGCCGCGATGGGGGAGAAGTTCCGTTACCCTGCAATGAGCTAGTTGCGATTTTGGCTGACTTTCTTCGACGCGAGCTTCCACTTCGCAAGCTTGAGATTCGACGTAAAACATAATTTTTCAAAGCGATACTTACCCATCTGTAGTAAAGACAAATACTCTTCGGATGTTTGATAACGTCAATCGGAAGCATAGAATCCTAATGGTGGAAGTACTAGAACACTATGAGTTGCACAGCGGAGTCTTCCATCTTACAGAATGGAGACCAGATTTACTCTATTTAAACACGCTATCAGGAGAGTTCAAAAATACGTATGATGGAGAGGAAAAGGTGTCACGGAAAATTATTAGGATGAACTCGTACGAGTTATTCAGTATTGTAGCCACGTGGCCCCGAAAACCGCTAATTTGGAGCGGCAGAGAGCGGAAACTTCTGCCAACTTTTTGCAGCCTTCACAGATTATCAGGTTTACAACAAGCATTTTCTGAAAGATTTAACATGACCACACCAGGCGATCATGACCATTACGAAAACTGTGAGTGTGTACAGCTTTTGATTTTAAAATTAAGAATAACAAAGTTTAAGTTGTACTTACCTCAATCCTCCGATGTACTTCTGCTTTTCATAAATTGTGACATCTGTGTATCCAAGTCTAGCCAAAAACGACGCGCATGATATTGAAGCCGGACCGCATCCTTGAATATGGAGCAAGGTTAAAGTATGTATTAGCTAAGAGTAGGAATCTTCACGTGATGAGAAAGCCAATTTACCTATAAGAGCAATAGGTGATGAATGGGACTTGTTTCTTTTCTCTCGAACTTCTTTGGAAACGATCTGCCCAATGTTCATCTTTTTGAAGACCTGTAGTCATCTACAATCGTACAAGCAAAGCGCTCATTACAACAGCAGTACTTACAGTACTAGTACTAGTACACTAGTACAGTACACTAGTACAGTACTAGCAGTACTTGTATTTAAGAGGCTACTTGGAAAAAAACTCAAGACCTCGTGTCTGAGAGTTAGTCGTCTCTAGATTTAAACAATGTTCTAGCCCAAAACAAACTTTTTTGGCGTTAATCCTAGGTCAATTATGTTATGTTATGTTACTCCCTCCTTTCATAGCGGGGTATGTTGATTGCAGAACCTCCCACGTATTAGCGTGAGGTCTTCTGTGTGGAATTGAATGTGTGTTTATGAAGCTTGAGAAGCTGCCCCAAAATGGTGTTGAGGAACCATACGATCTGGCCAGTATTACCACCCACGCGGTTTACAATAGGACGGACCTTTACAGAGGTGGGATTAAAAGAAGCCTTATCCCGTGCTCCCGAGAACTTATGTGCTTTTATCAGCAGGTACAGGACAAGACAGCAAGGTGATTCAATTTTGACGCGCGTTATTATGCTAGCACTCAGTCCTGCTGATCGTACTTCAGTAACCCACATCCAGCTCAATCTACGCGCTATGAGCCGCGCTCGAAACTCTTTAGCAGAGGCCGGGAGGTAGAGTGATGTACTGCCAGGTGATGTTCTGGTATTTCCTGATCGAGCTGACTAGGGATCACCATAAATTCGCAACCTTTCTCACTGACAGATAGTCTTATAGTAGGGGACTTTATCAAGTCTCGAAGTTCCCTCACACCCCGTGCTTGCTTTAGAGAGATTTTAGACAGAGTGCTTTGCTTTTTGGACCTACTGAGCACCCCGAATGCTTCCGTCTTCTTGAGCCTTGGGAGCCCACCGCAAGATGTTTCGCAATTACGCAGAAACTGAGGCCTTATACAGGGTTGGCCTTCCCATATGACTTCGATGAAGAGCAAGCGCAACCGACCTGGTTCAACTTTCGTCCAATGGGTGGTTTTAAAGATCCACAAACTTGCGGTGTATGGCCATTCAGATTACGTGCGCCCCTTAGGAGGTCTCAAACTTCCGTAGGGTTGACAATGCCGAGGTTCATGAAAGCCCAACTATTTTTGATGACTATTTTTGGGAACTTCTATGGCTTTGTCATACTTGATCAATCTTCATACAATAATAAAAGCAGGGATCAAGTTGTATTTCGGTAGGTGTCGTCAGGTGTGATGTTTTTCATGAAGTTTCAGAACCATATCAAATAGAAGCATCAGTATAACTACCATAAATAAGACGAGGGCTACAAAACTACTTGAATCCTCTTTCGGCCGTACTGATAAAGGGTTTGAATGATGTATAAACGGTCACAACTATGTTACCTCACAAGCGAATTGCTGAAGACCTCCTATGTTGATAGGTCCTTCTTCGCTGGCTTGTAAATTGCAACCGCCGACACAAAGGTCTGAAGTGGGGCAGATCATTCCGCAGGTCAGTCCGAGCGGATTATCGCTCAAAATTTGGCGTGCAGATCCATAGTAATTCTAAAATTTGCGGTCAAGCGACAAAGCGATAGCGACTAATAAACATTAAAAAAATCAAAAATGTTCTTGTCAACTGCTGTTATTTCGCCGCAGTTGATCCGGTCCGAAAGTTTCACAAGGTATTATAGGTGCTCAGAATATGGTTTTATATACCACAAAACTTTCTCACCTTGTTTGCTATGCTAGTGATAAATGCTTTTATGTCCAGCTGAGTAGGGCAGCCCTTCTGACACGGAGCGTCAGCGCATTTGAGGCAACTAAATGTTCAAAGCTTTTATAACACCAGGATTTTTACTAAGAAAGTTATTGGAGAACTACTAAAATGGAAGCATTCTTGATTACTGAAATGTATGGACATGATACAAAAACAATGTATCTTCAACGTCCGAACAATCATTTTGCTTTATTCTAGGCTACATTCTATCAGCCTGAATCTGATGCTGGTACGGGGCACCATTTTGGCAAAACAGCAAGAGCATTGTTTCGGTAGGAACAGTCTCATGAATTTTCTGACTGGGGACATGGGTTAGCTCTTTAGACCATTCGACTCTTCCTGGCTTATTCCGTTATCGACAACATCGATAAGGGTTATAACTGGACGCTGATCATCTCCACCATAAAGTGAGGGAAGCAGAGAGTCATCAACTTGCTACGAGACGTCTCTTTTTGTAGAACGTTCGGTTGATTAGCTAAAGGTGGAGTGACACGAACTACAGGCAATCATCAACCAACGTCCGATTTACGAAGCTGTGCAGAGAGGATAGAGGAAGTGATGGAAGAAAGAAGAAGAGCAGTTCCAGCCGAAACCTCCGAGACTGTGAAGAGCATTCGCTATGAAATAAGTGTCTCATGTCGTATGTATGTCGTTACTTCAGTTCTCACTTTCAAAATACAAGACACCTTGGAGTATCGGGAGAGTACAGAATGCCTGTGTGGGTTTCGCTCATTGGTTTAAAGAAGACCTTCCATATCGGCAAGACAAAAGGGATTCTTGAAGTTTGGGCTACCAGAAGGCTCTTTTTCGATAAATACGGAAGTTCGTGAATTTATGACATTTTCACTACTAAGCTTTTGCCTTCTTCGAAGGAGTCACTGCCTTCGTGAAGAGAGGAATTCGTCAGAGCGATACCGCTCGCCCAAACCTTTCAATCGCGCTTGTCAACCTTATGCACTTTCGAAATGTGAAGTCATGGGAGTTAAATTCGACGACTACTGCTTACGTCATCCGCTTTTCGCAGATAACATCGTCCATACCATCGATATTGAGCAAATGGGACTAACAGATAGCGTCATGCTGGCTGATCTTGACAACCTTATGAAATGATGGGCTCTAGACTGAAACTAACGGAGATGCTGTTCATGAGGAACGGATTGGAATCTATCGTTTATTTCACGCGAAGCGGAGCAAATGATTTAGCCACATATGCTTATGTTGAGAGATCATCACTACGAATGACCTAGCTCTGAGATTGAGCGGAAGCAAAATCGCAGCGTTGGGAGCATTGAGTGAGCAGCGGAGAAGACTGAAACACCTGCTCCGTGTTCACCTACTCGACACTTCAGGCTTGGTGCTTTGACATGCGCTTCTGAGACTTGGACTCTACGAAGGCTGGACGAGCATGCAGTCAGTATTAGTCTTGTCATTCAGTGTGCTGTAGAAAAAGCGAAAAAATTAACGTTAAACGCGAGTGCAGAGGGGAATCCGGAATGTTGAGCTTCGTCAACGACTAAAGATGAAGGATGCCATTGCTTACGCCGAGAAATCGAAGATCAGGTGAGCCCGGAACGCCATGCTGTACTACGCTAACCGTTAGATCAGGGTGTTTACTGTTCAGATCGCTCGAGACTCCAAACGAGCACCAGGACGTACGCTAACGCGATGGTCAGACTTCTTCACTATACTTTATCGAACTGCATTGCTTCCTTCAGTAAAGACGATTCACTGCGCTATTGAACTCGCTACAGGAGCAAATGGAGACGCTATTGGTGCTCGCTCTAGGATATTGATGATCAACTCTGGGCGGTGTTGGGGAGGTGAAATGATGTAAGTGACTGGGCGCAAAGGTAGAAGTTGAAGAGGCGACTAGATAAACTCACCGCAAAGCTTCTCGGAGAGCTCCACGTTCACCTAATGTTGTATGTTTGATATCTCTGAAGTCATTGCGGAGGTCTGTGGCACATGACTGAAAAGATGTCCTTTTTTTGTCAGTATTGGCTGACATATTACAGCACGACGTAGATGATGAAAGCGTTCTCCCATAGAAATGAGGGATTTTCGGATCTAACCATAACTGGCCTACTTTTGTAAGCTTCTCAATATGACCATAGTTTATCTTTATCTTTATCTCGCACGTGATCTCCCCCTTATTCCCATTTATTGGGCTTCTGCGTCCCTTCTAGAACGACCATTGTCAGGCCGAAAAAATTCCTGAACAGGGCATATTGAGGGTCCAAGCCCGGTTGGCTGACGCAGTCATAAAAGGGCTGTCTCGTCCTGTGAATAGTGCAAGGCCGTGTTATGCCGGCCTTGTTATTATTGCACTATTCACAGGACGAGACAAATAGTACACTTAAATGAGAGACACCCATCTCGTACAACCCCCTATCTCGCTACTCTTATGAAATCTTATATTTTAAAGTCCAACTATTTTCATGCCTTTTTCACCATCCTTGCACGATTCTGCACCATGGCTCCCATTATTTCATTCGAAATGAATACATAAAAACTATCGTGAAAAGCTTTGCCTTTGACTTGGTCAGTAACTGATGTGAAAAATGGAAATGTAAGAGGCATTTTGAACCAAAAGTTCTCTAATGGATGGAACAGATGGATCATAAAAAATCGCCAAATAGGACGAACATACGTCGCAGCCTTTCGCAGCATTCCTTTTCCAATCGTGCTTGTTCTTCTTTGTTTCGTAGCTTGGCACTGCTCTTGCTAATTTGTTCACGTTGGGATTTAAAGAGAGTAGAGCCTAAATTCATGGCCTTGTGATATTTTACAAAATATGAATCCAGCATTATGTCACTCGAATAAAAATAACAAACATAACAAAAATAACAAATATTATACATGCCGACCAGTCAATACTTGAGAACTTTTTCTTGTAGTATCGATTCAGGCGAATTTTATCTATGTACGATAAAGAGTGAAGTCCGGGGAAGTGATGAAGAAGAGCCGAAAAACGGAGCCTGTCTGCCCGATGGATTCCCAATTTTCCATAACCTCTAGGAGCTTTGATTACATTTCATTCAACCAAGCAAGCTAGTTGTTGGATAAAATTTCTTGAAGAGCCTATACAGTATAACCAAGCCTACCATTTCTTTTGGGTAAGCTAACTGTAACCCTTTGAAGACAAAATGGCCAGTTATATTTACACTGGCACAAGGGACTTTCAAAAAAAGAGATCCTTTTTGGATGGTGTCCAACGTTTTATTCATATGTTTTGATTTCGAAGTAAGTGAATGAAGCTCATTATTGCTTCTGCTACAAAACTCTTTATTACGGCAAGTTTTGACTTGATGTTTTGTTAACTGCTGTTTTACCGCCGCAGTACGGGAAGCGAAAGTCTCACAAGAATGGCGATTTGTGGGCAAAACTCCAGTCTCGGACGGGACTCGAACCCGTACTTGTCCTTTCCGGNCCGGAAAGGACAAGTACGGGTTCGAGTCCCGTCCGAGACTGGAGTTTTGCCCACAAATCGCCATTCTTGTGAGAGTACGGCAAGTTCTTTTTGCGATTTTTCTGGAGGTCTCGGGAACCCTAAATTGGAATGAGCAAGACAGTATCGAAAAGTAACGAAATTTGTTCCGTAATTGAACTGTAATGATTACTCGCAACTGCTAATGGAATAGTAATGGTGTTACTGTACGTACACAGTAGCTGGGCAGCGATGCAAGCCATAAAGGAATGAAATGGAGCACTAGCATGGAGCGAGGGAAAGTGAATTTGACTTGACCTACCTCGACATCAGGCTTATCTTTGGAGAGTAGCTGTGGTTGAGTTCCTCCGCTTGGTCTGTTGTGGCATGATCGAGCGAAGGAGCGCTTCCCTAGACCAACCCACCTAAACAGTGCCTTTTGAAGAAACAGGACAGAAAAAGTAGAGACACTGGTCTGGTTCGCTATTTGTGGCCAGCATGGAAACGTCACAAGTAAAGACATTGCAATGTCAAGTAACTAGCAATAACGGCGACTGAATGGCATGTAAAACTGAAGAGGAATATAATATGTAGTTTCACAAAAAGGTGAACTGGAATGGAATCTCTTGGTCAACTGGAACTATTGTAAGTGGCAGGCACTGGCTTATCTTTCGCAAAATGTTTGAAATTGCTACGCACTCTATACAGAGGAAGTGTAGTGACAAGTAGCGCACTATCATTCACGCATGGTCATGGGTTTGAATCCCGGAACGATATCCGCCTAGGCCAAGCAAGCCTTCCATTTTTCCGTAGGCGGTTAATTGGTACAAGACTCGTCTGGGGGTAAAGGAACTGCGGCTGGCTACCGCAAGTTATTGTATAGGTCACATACGCATTCAAAACGTCAGGGTGTGCGATTTTACTTACGACTGACAATGCGATCTTAATTACGACTGACAATTACTTTGAAGTAGTAAGTATCAGGCTCCAAAACGACCATAATACTTCCACTCCATTGTAACTTAGCAGTATTCACTTGAAAAAATGGTTTGAAAATCTCGCGAAGCGAAAAAAGGGTGAAAAAATAGCCAAATTTGCGGTAGAAATAGACAGGATACAGGTAAGTCAATTCGGCGTCTAATTATAGCAATGTTATCGATCAGGCCTCCATCAGCTGGATGGGCAGTGGGTAGGCTGACTAGCATTGTCAGTAGGTTGAATCAGCTGGACGAGTTGCTTAGCTCACAAACCTAGTCGAATGGGCGACGCCAAGGAGGCAATTACGAGTCTATGCGCCCC